GCTTCACCCCACAATATTTTGTCAATGATAATTGAATCTTAAACATGTCTTACTTTTAAATGGAACACGCCTTTATAATCCTGAAAACAGTCTATATTTGCTGATTACGACAACAGTTTTTTATTGAAGTATTTAATCCTGCTTCCATATATCTCAAACAATAAATAACATACCATATATTACATACTTCAATACATCGAATGTATTCCCTTTTTCCCCTTCCCCCCTCAAAATGACCAGCAATAATTCCTTATTTTATATCTGTAACCATAAGCACACCTTTTGGAGTTTAACCAATATTTCATTATCCCCCCCCCCGCTTTTACCCATCTTATATACTCAAACCACCTCTTCTTGACTTCCACAACAGTTAAATGACCAAATCCCATGAATTCTCTATAGTCAGTTCAAAAAGGAACTACTGCCTTTTAAAACATTGACATAAGATATATTGACATTTTTGGACAACAGAGGGAAATCCACAGCAGGAAGCCATTTCCTTTGCTTTCTTGACATCCTGCTGTCCTTGTGAATCTGCAAAGAATACCAGATGGATGTGGAAACAGCCCAAACCAAGTTGAGCAAACTGAACTTTGTGTAGTTTCACAGGAACGTGTTCCCAGCAGCAGAATTAACTTTTTATAGATATGTTGCTGAATGTATTTTACAGATACATTGGTAAGTATTTGAAGGAGAGAAATTATTTTTGCTTTCTTTGGAAATGCAGAAACCAGTGCATAGTTGAAGCCTTTGTCAAGTAAATAAATAGAAAACATCCGTGCTAAAACATTTAAACCGTTTAAAGAGACTACTGTGTATATATATCCCTGTAGATTTGTTGAACCTACCCATATAAAGTAGGTTTGTGTGGACACCTAATCTCACACTTCACTCTGGAAAGAGAGAGTGGAAATTAAAGCAATTCATTTTCTAGACATCCAGAAAGTGTATCTGGATTCCAGATACAGTCCGGTCTCCAGGCCCTATCGCACAATGACATAAGCACCAATCTACTTCCATTGCTGTGGTTTTCATGCAAAAAATATGGGATCACTCCCACTTTATTTTGTAATGCTATCACCAGGCAACCGAGTCTGGAAGTTTCTAGATTTTCAATCTCAGATGGATCTGCAGAATGTCAGTTCCCCAAATCCAAGAAAAATGCAGGACTGGATGAGCTTCACAGACAGCCTTAGTTCAAAGACCACAATACCTACTAAATAACATTAATGTGGAGGCAGTAGATCTTAGCCTTTCAGTACAGCAGTCTGGTTTGGGAGGATTGCCTGGAAGGGCCAATACTATTTTCTGTTATGATCAGGTCGTATTCATCGGTGTCATATTCGCATTTAGGGGAGATTTATCCCCGGCTTGTGTTTCCCAGTCAACCAAGGCTCAGTTCATTTGCTTGAGATAACTGCATTGGTTTATAAACTTGTTCCTCGAATCACAGAAGACCGTATTGCAGAGTTTTAATCATTCTTAGTGGCTGCTATAGCATCATCTGGATAAACTATGTGACTTAATACATGGAAAAACCTGATTTGGTCTCAACAGTAGGACTGTATTGTATCTAAAAGGCTGGAAAGGGCCTGAATACTAAGAGGGAATTTTTATAGGTCTATTTGCTGTAGAATTAGATTTGCATTGTCAGATATATGCAGGCACAGGAATAAAAACAAAAAATTAAACAGACACTGCTTATTGTCTTAACATTCAAATAGCTCATCGGAGGAAACTAGGTTTATTGTTATATAAGACTTTCTGCATAATGTAGCAGCCGACATTTTTAGCCCTCTGTATGGGAGGTATTTTCCCCTTTGTCTTCATAGAAAAGACGGGATCAGTTTGCACTCTTCTTGTCTTATACATGGCCTTAGTGTGGCTCTTGCTATGAAAAATGTTTGATTTCAGAGTGTTTTCAGTACATAAGCTACAGCAGATTCAACTACTTAATCACTGTCATGAGAGCCCAAATGGGGTTGCAGCCAAGGAATGATAAGCAGAGTTCTGTTTATCGAATGGATCTTTCTTGCCTCCATATCTTACACAGCCACTGAAAAAAACTTCTCTAGATGGTTAGGCATCCCTCAAGAACTTTGTGGGGTGCATCACAGGGGGGGCTTGCATTTGAATGATGAACCTGTCCCACTTGCCCTACAACACATTTGGATCCAACCTTATATGTATGGTTAGCAAGAGTAGGGGCTATTAGGTCTTGCTTGCATGGATTGTCTCCCCAATTTATGTTGAACATTACATGACTATTACCTGGCTAATCACTGTTGCCAAGATATGGACCAGATGGATATTTGGTCTGATACAGCAAGGGATGTTCACGGAGTCCAATGATTAAAATCCCTGTGCTCAAGTTAACAGCCTGATAGTGCCACTGCTGACTTCAGAATTTTCTCATGACAAGACATTAATATGGGCCATACTTAATGCCCTCAATTCGTGAAGCAGTGGACAAGCCACAAACTATGTAATTACGTTCATTTGGGTGTGGAAAGAATGTTAGGGATGAGTTCATCCATAAAAAGCTAGCAACACAGAGGACACTAGACAATTTGGGAGTTGCTCAACCGTGCCCTTAACAAGCATTGCACAATTGAAGTTTCAGACAAGACCAGAAAATTTTTAAACTGCATGGTCTGGAAGTGGCAATGTAGCAATAGTTATAGTAATGGCTTGTTCTGTCATGAACAAATTCCAAACCTTCAATTACCCACTGCTATAATGGTTCCAGAGCAGCTAAAGGGGTAAAGATGAACATGTTATACACACCATTTTAAAGGTCACTAGCTAATGTTCTTAATGCAGCCATAAAACATGTGCTGTAACCTTGTTGTTCAGTACTGCCATTCAGTCCAAAAGTTTCTCTAACTGCAGTATGGCATGGATTACAGCATAAATCCTCTAAACTCTAGAGACTAGCTGGCCCTTTATCCAAATAAATGGGGTGGGGAGAGAAACATAAGCCAAACACCACAAACTGCAACAGTCTTAAAACCCGTACAAGATTTTGTGGTCTAGTTAGACCAGGGAGAAAATGCCATTTCTGAACACTTGTTATTTTGACCTACCAAAATATTGATGCAAGAATCCAAAACAAGGCAGCTAAATCTAGAATTAGATCTCTGAACTTTCTCAAAAGTTCAGTGTGAACTTTGGCAAGCATTTTATGTTTAACCATTCAAATTTCCATTTCTAACACAGGTAGCTGCAGTTTCTCTGTGTTTTAGTCCGTCTTACCCTCTCCCATATTGTTTCCTAAATACAGCTCTACACAATGCCTCTAAAACTTAAAATTAGCAACTTTTAGACACAATTTGAGTTGTTTCCTAAACCCCAAGAGACATTCTACACTTCACCCTTGAAGGGAAATGCATGTCTTCTGTGTGTATACTGAACTACAAGAAAGTGGGGGGGGGGGAATCAGCCCCAAGGATCAGCTGTCTATATTCAACATAATTGCTTTACAAAATAACAAATGTAGACTAGAAACAGATAGGCCAGGACAACAAGGCGTTGTACCCCATACACTCTCTAAAAAGCTGCTCCTGGTATTCGATGGACCTCCAGAATAGTACTCAAATGACCTGCAAGGGGCTGCAGCCAGAAAGAAAGGAAATAGCCACCCTGTCCTGTGCAGAGGCACTTAGGCTATAACCCAGTGCTTAATGAACTGAGCCAGCTGGGCTGGGAGAAAGAACCCAGGAGAGAACTGCTAGGAAGGTGTGTGTGTTTTTTTGCCTTTCCTAAACCACTAAATTACTAGAGAGCATTAACTGAGGTTGCTTTATGAGAGGACAACATTTGAGGGCGAGTGGGTGACTGTAGCCTGTTGGAGAGTGACGTTTTTTGTCTGGCTCTGTTCGGGTCTTTTGTCAGGTCTGTTACTCATTGAGCAAGGTCTCTCTCCCTGGGGCGGATTGCAGGTCCTCCCCTCTGCTGTCACTGCTGGGAGGCAGGGGCTGCGGGCCTCTGAACTGTAAGGCTCCTCCTAGGCAGAGGCACAAGCCTTTGGTATGAGTTGAAAGGCAAGAGTCAAAGGGTTTTTGGCCTGTGGCTCTTAGCCTGGGGACCCTACATCACTCTAGGTACCTTTAAACCACTAAGCAGTTATGAAGGTAAGAAGCCAGCAGGGGAGTGGGAGCTATCCAGTGTTTTGCAGACAGTGTCACATTTATGATTGTCTACCCACTGGGTGGAAATTGTGGTTGTGTGCTTGCAGCTCTCAGGGATCAGGTTCATTCCACTGACACTAGGGTTGCTGATGGGCGTTTGCATTCGGCATAAACGGAGCTGAAAAAATACAAAAGGAAATACTACTTTACACAGAGAGTGGCTAAAATGTGGAATTTGCTGCTAGAGGATGTTTTGATGGCTATAAGAATAAACAGCTTTAAAAGGGGATCAGACAGATTCATGGGGGACAGGTCTATCAGTGGCTACTAGCCATGGCGACTGAGGGGAACGTCCACATTCAGAGGCACTAATTCTCTGGGAGGCAACATCAGGGGGCGGCCTTGGCTCCTATGCCCTGCTGATGGCCCTCCAGAGGAACTGCCCGGCCACTGTGTGAGCAAGGATGCTGGACTAGATGGACCAGTGGTCTGAAAAACCAGGGCTCTTCTTATGTTAATGCTGGAAGAGAGATTTAAATCATTCGTATGGTTCCAAATTCCTGCCTGCAGTGCACAATCTGTTGTGTTTAGATATGCTGGGAAGCCAGAGGCACTCTTACTACATCTATCAACAAACTCATCACCTGTTACCATTCTAGGTGTAAGCTCCAAGCAGATTCATACACACAAGCACTCTCTGTGCCGGAAATCTGGTAAGGTGAACTAGTCTTCATTTTTTTCACTTGTTTTCACAATGCAGTCAGCTACTTTTGTGCTTTTTAATCATAATACATACACATTGTTAATGTTATAAAGTTTAATAAATTATTGTTCAAGCTTTAATTCTTTCAGTTATGGTACTATAAAAGCTATAATGTTATATGATAGTCTACAAACTCTTTGTACAGGTTTTTTTGATCTGTAAGAAACAAAAGTTCGCAGCTTTCCTTCCAGGCAATTTAATGAATACAAAATATTGCTGCTGATATGAACTTGTGCGGTATTTCTTCACATTTGCTACCCGTGTAGTTTGCATAAGTTAACTAAACGATACTTGTGTAAACTCGTTAAGCCACACAATGTGAGGCAGACTGTGTACTTGTATCGGAGTAAAAAATATACAAACTGTTAAAAACAAGTCCCATTATATTGGCTTACATTGTTAAATGTACACTGACAGTTAACAAAAGGGAAAATGAATTGGATCACTGGAAGGAAAGGTTAAATTTACTAATACATGTAAGCCTTAAAATGGAAGAGAAAGATATGATAAAGAAGCTTTTACAGGATATCTGAGACAGTGTTAAGATGGTCCATCTAGTACTGTACCAGAGCTGCCTCCATAGTTCAGGATGTTCAATGATTTTTTTAAAGCCAAAGATTCCTGTTTACTATGATTACAGATGCATACACACTCTAGGTAGTGACATTAACTACCATTTTGCATGTCAAAACGTTAATTGCTTTCTTGCATAGTCCAAGTCGTGGCTATAAAAAGACACTTGCTAACATGTTCAAGTTGAAAACACCCAGTGCATAAATTAGACCAATGTGGCCTGGCAGACACACTTGAGGATACTTCAAAGCTTGTCGCATGTTGCTTTCCTAAAGCAGGATTAGCACAGTGTGTAACCTGGGTTGACAGTATGCCAGAAATAAATGGGTTGCAGAGTGTGTTTCCTCCAATACAAGGCAGGGATGCACTTCGAAGTTCCAGTAGACACCGATGATTTCAGGACTACAAGCTCCCTCCACGCTCCGCTCCTGGCAGTGGCACTGCATTCTTAGAAATATTCTTCCTCTTCATCAAAAAAACCATTTTCCAGAGCATACGCACAGTCTGCACTTGACACAGCTTGGCAGGCACCTTTATATTCTTGAATTGATTCATAAAGGGAGTACAGTTGACACAGTAGTGACATATCTAGCTGCCGGAGGCCAACCTTGTAGAAGAGAAACACAATATTAGTATTTATGGCTTTGTTTTACTTGTAAAATGCTGGCCAGTGCATATTTCTTTTTCTCCACAGGGATTTAGCCCCAAAGACACAGTGTTGTACCTGACAATTATGCAACACAGCAAGATAATTAAATTACTTGGGAGATTCCACCCTACTGAACTAACAAGATGAAATAGTTGTGGGGAAAGCGGCATTACAGGACGCGATGTCGTAAAGCATTCCTGATGCTTAAGTCATGGTGCCATGCCCTCTTTAAAAGCCAAGAATCCCTGTAATCCTAGGCTGATACACTGTTTTATTAAGGACAAAAGAAACAAAATGATGTAATAGCTTTTACTGAGGCCAACCCAAATAAGACAAAGGGAAAACTAGACACTGCGAGTCAGACTTCTGTCTCAGAATTAGGTTGACACTGATTTTCCTATTAAGCAGGTGGTTGGGGGCAATTTAAAGTGCTGCATCATCTACCGGCAATGTGTGATAGCTTCTCTCACTTGTGTTCCCTCTAAAGCTGCTTCTCTTTAGGCATTTTTCTCCTGGGGTTTGTACAAGTGTGTTCCATGATTTCTAGCTTGCCCCTAAAGCAGAACACACTGGGCAATGCCTATGTAAAGCAAATAGGCCTCACAGCACCGCTGTCCTATGTTCCACTTTTCCTCATAAGCATCCTAAGGGGAGGTGTTCTATGACATCAGAATTCACCTAGCTCAGGGGTGGCCAAACTGTGGCTTGGGAGTTGCATGAAGCTCTATCACACATATTGTGTGGCTTCCAGCAGGGAGGTTGGAGAAACAAAAGGAAGGCATGCCTTCCCTATCTGTCTTCCCTTCCCTAGCCAGCGTTCCCCTCCCTGGGTAAGCTTGAGGTGGGGGAAGCAGTAAAAGAAAGCAACTTTAACTTGAAATGCATTCTCAAAGCCGCCCCCCCCCCCCAGCCAGCTTGGAGAAGACATTTGTCTCTTTAAATCCTTTCTCCAAGACAAGCCAGCCAATGTGCGGGCGTGCAGGGGGTGGGATTCGAGTACAGATTTAAAGTTCAAGTTCTTTTCTTTCCTCCTCTCTCTCCCTTCCCCATCGTTCTTTCTTTCCTCCCTCCCCCCATTTAAAGTTGAATGTGTTCTCCAAGCCCTGCCACACCGGCCAGGTGGCTTTGCTTGGAGAAGGCATTTGTCTCTTTAAATCCCTTCTCCAAACGTGGCAGCGGGGGGTTGGAGAACACATTTAAAGTTGCTTTCTTTCCATCTCCCCCCTCCCCATTTATTTGCTTTCTTTCCACCTCACTCTCTCTTCTCTCTCTTCCCCTCCCTTCCTTCCCCTCTCTCATCTATTTGCTTTCTTTCTTTGTTTCTTTCTTTCTCTCTCTCTCTCCCCCTTCTTCCCTCCCTCCTCCCCATCTATTTGCTTTCTTTATTTCTCTGTTTCTCTCTCCTTCTTTCTTTCCACCTCTTTCATTCTTTCCACCTTTCTCTTTCTTTCTTCCTTCCTTCCACCCTCCCTAATTGCTTTCTTTCCACCTTTTTTCTTTCTTTCTCCCTTCCTTTCCTCTCCCTCCCCCATCTGCTTTCTTTGTTTCTCTCTTCCTTTCTCTTTCATTCCACCTCTTTCATTCTTTCCATCTCTCTCTTTCTTTCAGACAAATGTCATTAGCAAACAAATAATATCATTGGATAAATAAGTATCATTACCAATATCTGTTTTTACCCCTTTTGTTTATATTTTTGGTAGTCTCATCTAATGTTAATAAAAGCATATTTGCATATTTTTAATAAAAATGTGTGTATAATATTTGTTCATGTCTTGTGGCTCTCAGACATCTGACGTTTATTCTATGTGGCTCTTACATTAACCAAATTTGGCCACCCCTAGCTAAATAGAGAAATTGGAAACAAATTCTTGAACTGCCCAAGAGTAACAAAGGTACAACTTGCACTTCTCAGGCCTGCTTCCCATGTTACACAGGGTTGGCTCCTATACGTCTGTGAACAAGGCAAGGTAATGGAAGCGATTTCTCACCTTCCCCTTCCTCTAATGGCCTCCAATTCCCCCAGAAATACCACTACTTAGTACTGAGGAATGGGATTCTATGTGGCTTCCTGCCATGCGAGTACTACAATTCCCCCTCCATACCATATGCCACTTCCTCCAGTGGTGGTCATTCAAGGGATGCAGGAGGCTGCCCGGGGAAGGGATGACCAATGAAAACTGCTTCCATGCACTCCAAGTCCATAAGTATAGGATTCAAAACACTATTTCTACACATGGGTGCACTCTGGGAGGGGTGGGGAGGGGAAGTGTATGTTGCTTGAGAAAATGATATGAATGTTCTTTTTGCTGTGAACACACAGACTACAGCAGATATGGCACTTTAATTAGTTGTCAGTGGATCTTGCTGAATCATGGATCACCGGATTCACCTCATATGGCAAGGACTAAGAAGAAACATAAAATTATGCTGAGAAAATAATACCATATTGTCTCTTGCCTCTGAAGCCAAACAGAAACATGATGCTGATGGAACAGAAGAACTTCCCACGGGATGTGGTGTGCACCCAGCATTTCCTGTGAATTGGCATTCAGGCACTAAATTGATCTGATTTAAATCAAATCCACCCTGGTCACTACCAGTGTTCCCTCTAAGCTGAGTTAGCCTGAGCTAGCTCACAGTTTTTAGCCTCCGGCTCACAGGAAGGAGGGCTCCAGAGCAAACTAATTGATGCAGTAGCCAAATCACCGGCTCACAACTTTAGTGCCAGTAGCTCACAGAGTAGAATTTTTGCTCACAAGACTCCACAGCTTAGAGGGAACGTTGGACTCACTACATATAGCAGGGCTGCATGCATCGCAGTTCAGTCTGAGTGCAATACTGAGAGCAGGTAACTTAAGTTATTCTGTCCCGCCATCATCACATTCAAGTCAGGCCTCACGTAACTCTTCCCAAGCCATGCCTTTCCAGTGCTCATCAATGCAAGTGTCTTGAAAAAACAGAAGAGGGGGGGGATAGGTCCTGTTAAATTTTGAATCCTTGACTTCAGCATCTGAGACCATAGTATACTGCTTAGTCAGCCTTGCAAAACTGACACCATACCAGGTATTAACTTCTTGTCTGCCCTTCAAGAAGATAATTCCAGCAAATGCACAAAATTATCTTGCAGGTCTCACCTTTGGTACTAAATACACATAAGTCAAACCAGGTGAAGGAACACTGCATCAGAGGTGAGTGACAGCTGCAGGTATTTGAAGAGGGTGGCAAGCTGAAAAAGCCAAACAATAGAATGGGCAAGGATGATAAGACAGCTGTCAATTAGGTTCCCTCTAACAGGATAATTTCCAAATAATCAGGACTGCCTATCTCAGTATTTTTACCCAGAAAACATAAGCAAGATTTATGAGTATGCTCATATCCAGTTAGTTTCACCTTTGAGGCATGATCTTATATCCACACAGTTATCTACCTTTACATTTAACACCATGTAGGATACTTTACAACACCAGCCACACAAACGGGCTCTAGGTCCCATCAATACTTCATTGCTACATTGACTTCTACAAATACTGTTGCTGAAGTCAACAAGACTGAAGTTGCACATTTAAGCAGGCATACGCATACTCAAGTATCGGCTAGTGTCTGTGCATGTAGATGCAGATTTAGACATTAATTACTGTGGCTTTCTTGCTGAGCCATGGTTTGTCATTTCTCCTGCCTACAAACTAAGGATCCGAAGCTTTAATCCAGATTCTCAAATCCCCTGCTCTTGCTCTTCTTCCTATCCTCCACATCTCCCCCAGCTTTCAACCTCCTGCCTTCTTGTTCCCTCTTTCCTCCTGTTCCTATCCCATGTAAGGCCCCTTTCCTTTTTGCTACTCAATTGTACATGCAAAGTCAGGAAGAGTACTCTGTTTAGTCCATGTCTAGTATTGCTGTGTTATCCCAATCAGCTGCTGTGTAAGGCCAAGCATGCGAAGAGTGTCCTCCACACATGTCAAACTGGAACAGCTAAAAGGGGATTGGTTGAGTCTTGTTGTACAGACAGTTCCCAGCAATAAGTCTGCCAGGAAAGGAAGACAGATATTTGACCAGCCAAGTAACTTTATTACCCTATCCAAGGTACAGAAGAGAAAAACGGAGAGCAAGATGGTAGTACAAGACCACACGACTGAACTATTCAATGGCAACAATGCAGCAAGTTACATGTGGCAACCCAATAAAAATGATCACTTTAGTACAAGCATAGTGTTCAGCTGTATTTTGTTGTTCAGTCGCACAGTCGAGTCCGACTTCGCGACCCCATGGACCAGCTCCCGCCAGGCCTTACGGTCTTCCGCCATCCTCTGAAGTTTGCTCAACTTCATGTTTGTTGCATCTATTACACTGTCTAACCATCTCATCCTTTGCCGTCCCCGTCTTCTTTGACCTTCAATCTTTCCCAGCATCAGGGTCTTCTCCAGTGAGTGCTCCCTTCTCATTTGGTGGCCAAAGTATTTGAGCTTCAGTTTCATTATCTGGCCTTCCAGGGAACAGTCAGGGTTGATTTCTTTTAGGATTGACTGATTTGATCTCCTTGCAGTCCAAGGGACTCTCAGGTATATTACTTTACACTAAATAACCAATTTTAACCCAAACTATGTTCCTCCCACCTAGCTAGTCAAGAGAAACCGACCCAAAGAGAAGACTTGGGTGATGGGCTGCCCCAAAAGGGATCCAAAGATGCAGAGGCATAAACAGAGAACAATTTTTAGGCAGGAAGGTAGGAATCCCTCACTGGGTGTGGCATGTTATGTGAGATGATCATACAAACAAATGGAAAACAAGTAATAGAGAAGCTAGGAAGTGGGTAGAAAGACATGGAGGGTTTAACTCAGGTGTGAAAGCAGAATGGGAAAAGGAAAAGAAGAAAATCCAGAACAAAAAAAAATGGAGGACTTGACATGGCTTTCTTCCACATCTGGATTTACCTGGTCTAAAGGGAAACACTGCTCTTAGCC